AGGTAGATGATTTGAACAAAGATTTAGAATGACTAGGTACACAAATACCTTTTAAAATCCGGCGTTGTATCCTAACCTACTACAAGTGTTTTAGAAGTGAGAGGCTCCGTGCAACAGTAGTAACACTGCTTTTCACGGGGATTACGTGGAATTGTAGAGTTTACTTGGAAATAACAATATTAGCAGGTAAATTTTCTGCTAGAGGAACTTTTTTTACGACTCTATATACCAACCCGTTTTAAATAAGCAGTTAAGTGATTCTGCTTTTGCAGTAGAACCTGCCTGGTTTTTATAGGAATAGTTCTGTTATACAATAGTGATCATTTATATTTGAAAGTGTTTAAGTGGTGTATATAGCTTTGGTAAGGTATATAACTGAGGTCTAATGCGGGAATAAGTTATTGTTGAAGCATTACCAAATAAAGCTAAATAATGTGCGCCAACAGCCGCACGGCCCAGTGTTATTGAGTCGTTTGTTATTGTGTTATTGCATCGCTGTTCGTGTAACGATAACATATGTATGTGTTCGTATATGGATTATCGCATTGGTATTGTTTGACGAACCTTAATCAGCTATATTACCTGTTATGTGGAATTAGCCTAATGTGAGCCATATAGCTTTTGTAAATTAGGTCGTTTGACCTAGTGACAAAATTTTACTTCACAGTTAAGTTTGTAGTTTTCCTTGTCAGGCCCAAGGAAATAGTTACAACGTCAGTCCCAATTTAGTGTAACATAATGTTACAAGTATGTAATAGTTGTGAGAGGCACTAGAGGCAGTATGCCAGCTGACTGATGTTTACAGTTGGACGACTCCAGCACGCGGGCCGTCACATGTCATTTATATATAATCAATGTTCAAACTGGTTCAAACATGTTTGCATGCCTATTAATTCTCTTCCCTAAATGAACTACTAATTTGTAAAATTTCTGATATTCAGGAATTTTAGTTCAAATTTCATAGTTTGAGTTAAAAATTATATCGATAAATGCGTTAAGCGAATTTCACTCTGAGTAGCTGTTGTTGTAGTTCCTATTGTAAAACAATGTCCACGACCGGTGACATTTTTCGCCAGAATAAACCCCTAGCTATAAAATAAATAAAACTCATATATTTAATAGGAGTGTGTGTGCTCACACGGGTGTCTGTGGAAACGACAAATTTTAAATTACTTTTGATTTAGGTGTAATTTGGACGTGTAAACCCAATTATTTTAGAGTGGCAATAAAGAGCGGCCCGATTCGACTCTTAGAACAAGGGGTTGTAGCTCAAAATAATACTTTTGTCCTTTTTTTAGAGGTTGGCGGCCTCTTTTAATTTTGCATTTGCCCGTCCACATAGACTAACTGTCCGTGCTCTAACCACTTTCACAGTCTTCACAATTTGTGTTGTATGCAATTCACACTTAAAATAGAATTTTCGTTCCATTTTGCGGGGCAAATATCCCAATTAAAGCAATATTGGTATTAGATCTACACTTTGTAGTGACAATAATAAGCACTCGCGTTGGTTATACTGAGAATAGACATAAGGGCATAGCGTTGCGTGTTCATATCACGTCGGGGTCACCAATGTGATGAGTTATCATTCTGATATTATAAATGTGAAAGTTTGTGTGTTTGTTTGTATGTTTGTTTGTATGTTTGTTTGTTTGTTTGTCTGAAGTTCAATCACGCAATAACTACTGGTCGGATTGGGTTGAAATTTGGTATGATGATAGCTCACTATCCCAATTAACGTATAGACATATTCTCATCTCAAAAATCCTTTCGGGCTCCGCCCCAGTGTCTCTAGAATTTTCCATGTTAACCTTCACATTTAAAATGATTTGGAGAATTTTTCCAGCTGTTTCAACTACACAATGTTATAAGGTTTACCTACAGGGTGCAGCACTATTAATTCATTTTGCATTTATGACAACAGCTAATTTGAAGCAAGCAGCAACAAAACGCTGAGAACTTTACTTTTTTCTATTGTTTAGGTGCAGTGGTAGAACATTATGGCTATGGTACATGTGCTATACTATAGTATACAGTAATTTATAGTAAAAAAAAAAACAATGTTTGCTACATACGTCATTTATAACAAACAGCTGTTTGGATTAAGATTCTCACTTCTAGCTGTCACTGATATGTTTACATTAAATGTTGTTTACAAATACTCCAACATTTCCAATCACATTTTGTAAGCAAATAGAAACCATTCATTAAACCAAGTGAGATGCCTTAAAAGACCTTTTTATTTACAGAACGGATTTAATTGATCACAAGTACAATAATGTGTAACTGTAAATAAAAATAACTTGTACAATGCAGTAAGATGAAAGGAATAGGTGGTCACGTGATTGTTTACAAGATGATTTCCCCTATTAAAACTGCCACAATTTTTCTATACACATGTAAACTAGCTGTTTTGAATTATATCCAGTTTTAATCGACTACTTGATTCCGGTACATAGGACGGGACAACAGCTGCTAGTATTAAAATAAAATGTAGAATATACAGTTGTGGCGAAGATGATGCCACAAAGGCAAAACTCTTTAAATATGAATCTGTTTGAACAAAAAAGACAACGAAACTACAAACTCACTTTACAAATTTACACTACACTACCCAACAAATTTAATCCAATGAACAAGATGAGTTCTTCATGAAGAATCGCCGATCAATAATAGTGGATATTCTGGAAATACCGTACCAAATGTTATCGATAATCGCATCTAACAAATTACAAACGGGTTATTTAAGCAGTACCTATTAGGTAATCAAAATGCAATCAGTCAAAACCAAACACGGCATACGATTTGGAATCGTATCTGATCTGAAAACTGGACTTAACGAACCTTGCCACCACCCGCATCATTTGACTCTCAAATCAGTACCTGATTGTGGATAAAGGCATTAATGCAATGCATGTCGGCATAAATATTATACATTCGAATAAAATAAATAAAATAAACGAAATTTGTTTGTCCGAAGAGGTTATCAGTTAAGGTACAAGTAATTCTATCTGCCAGTAAATGTCTAAGGGACTACAACAACATGTCACTATAGGTAATTGCTTTTTGTCAATAACATCTATGTAAAAACATTGGACTGCAATCAAGAGCCCTCACAGAGAATGTTAGTAAACTGTACTATCCTATTGTAATAGTAAAGCTAGTTTATAACCAACACAATTAAATACAAATCGACACAATTAAACCAGTAAAAAGTAGCTTATGTTAATGTACTCTTAATTGTAACAAAACAATTTAGATAAAATTTTATGACATATTTCCATTTAGTAACTGAAACAAACGCAACACGTAATGCTTTAGTATAATTGTTAAAAATAGTTGATAGAAAAATATTTTTTTATTGAGACAAAGCAATCAGATTTAAATTAATCTGACGTCCTAAATAAATATTTAAAGTTCAAACTTGATGGTTACCTTGTGGTTAACCAATAAAATCGTAGCTCTAATTTAGTGATAACCACGAATACTTGAACAGAACCGGTATGGATCATGAACATAAACAAATCACGTTGCTGGCCCGAATCCTATACTAATTGCGTTAACATATGATTTCGACAATGTTAAATAATATTTTATTTTCGGGCCAGCAATGTGATTTGTGTTTGTTTATAATCCATACCGGTTCTGTTCAAGATTCGTGGCGATAACTTAAGTTTTTGCAACTATACATGATAATACGAGTAGTAGTGTTAAGGTAGGCTATATTAAACGTATAGCCAGCGCCGCGCCGTATAGAAAGGAGCGAGTAAGGTTTAGGTCACACGTTGACCTGACCTGAAAAACTGTGCCAAACAATACACCTAACCAGTTTGTGTTTAACGTAGTAGAAGTGGTTTTAGTGAGAAGTCTGTTTTGGAGTTCACATACATGCTCTCCACCTGTGTGCGTTAAAGCTTTTCTTTCTATCCGCAACAAAAGAAGAAACTCCTGATGGTAATGCATTTTGTGGTTTCCGATGTATTCCAAAAATATAATAATTTAGTATATACATTTGGTGCGATCCGTAGTTATCCTGAAGTGAATAATTTGGTCTGTTCATCAAGTGTAATAATTTTATACACAATCTTATCAGTTTAAGATAGGTAATGATGAATTTGTATGGTAATTATATCTATATTTGTAGTTGGATATTACACCTTGAAATAGATTTCGCACCAATACCAAATGCTTTACCAGATAATTACAAACTCTAACGACCAACTACAAGATTGGGTGTTCCCGTTCCTCCGATAACCAATTTGTTTGCTTGTTTTATGTATTGGGCGATCGATGAGCTAGTAAAATATTTGTATTATTTTCAATGTGTTGTTTTTATAATTAATGAATAGAATTAAAACGACTAACAAATATTTTTAGTTAAACGTTACATTAAGTGATGGATTTTCAGTCAGTTAATTATAAAAATATATTAAAATAAACTTCATATTAAAGTATGTAGTACAGTAACATTTGTCTTTGAAATAAACCAATTGATTTTTAAACAGATACAAAAAGTATAGTTGAGTTTTTTTAGAACGTGAAAGATGAAGTTCTTTAGACCATAGCAACGCAAAGTGCTACTTGATTGAAACTAAGAAAAATTAATGTTCAGTCGTTATCAGTCCGCCGAGGAGGAAAGGTCGATGCGGTAAACGCCCGTGTTCGTGCAAGCCCACCGGTCTGCCCGTGTAATCCTGCCTCCTATCACGTTAAAGGACTTTTTATGTGCAGTTTGTGTTAAATAATTACCCTATACATGCTTTGTTTGTGTCAAAACCTATAGTGAACTGTTTCGTTATCTATTTCGTGCGGGAAATCTATTCTTTCTTTTAGTTTTTATTTTTTATTAGGACCTTGCTGTTTTCACCTAATCCAAAATGGACTGTTCTAAGTGTGGACGTGATGTTGCAAATTCAAAAAACACTGTGAAGTGCGTGGAGTGCTCCTCGACCTTCCATGTTACGTGTAGTCGTATACGAACTGTGGCAAAGTTATCGGCCATGTCGCCGCAGGCTCTGGCCACGTGGAAGTGCGATGGCTGCGGCCAGGAGACTGCGTCTGCTGCGAGTGGTAAGTCAGACTCTGAGGACAATAAGATATGTGATATTCTCCGAGCTATACAACGGGATATGGCTGCGAATCAGGATTCAAGCAACCAGAATTTTAATACCGTTAATCAGCAGTTGAACAATATGAATCAAACCCTGAATGAGCTTAAGGATAAAATTTTAGTAGTAGAGAGGGAGAATGCGTCTCTAAAACAGGATTTAGGACATTTAAAGGAAGAAAATGTTTTCCTTCGAGATAAAGCTATCAGTCTCGAAATGGAGATCGAGGACCTCAAGCAGTACTCTAGAAACCGAAACATTGAAATAAGGGGCATCCCCCTTACTAAGAATGAAAATGTTTATTTAATAATGGAAAGCATAGCAAGAGCCTTAGGAATAACTTTCAATAGAGGTGACATCTCAATCGCCCATCGTCTTAGACTTAGACTTAGACTTATGACTTGTCCAAAGAGCCGAAACTCTCCGACACACCCGGTACCGTTTGAACTACCCGGGACCTCTGATGCCGATTGGAACTTGTGCACCAACCTTTATGACACCATAGGAGGATGACTTAAGGTCATCAGGCTCACCGGCTGCCGAAGCAGACCCTTCGGAAAGAGGGTTGCCCCTCAATCCTAACCAGGGATTCCGGCTACTTGTTTAAGCGTCACTCCAGTTGGGTTCCACCAGGTACAAGCCCTAGCGGACCATACTGGAGCGCCCCGACGCATTTAGTGCAAGCGACACCCGGGACCTATCCAATCCCTGACAGGCAGAACCCGCCATCATAGCCAGAAGGAGGGGACCGTCAGCGAGCTGACGGGGGAACCCCAGCCTCCCATTTACACCACTACCCGATCGAGGCCTTACCCAGTTGCTGGGAAACCAGAGATAGCCAGAGCGATAGATCCCCGGATACCCCTGGCGGGCTCGGACCCAGCACCCGATCTACTTCGTTTGCCCGTCAGACCCAACATCACTGCCAGGCCATCAGGGTTTCCCAAAAGGAGGCAGGTATAGAAGTGGGACCCACCCGGATGAACCTATCCACCAAAGGTGGCGACACCCTTAACTCAATTGAGGTTCCGGGAAGAACCCCCCACACTCAAGATAACCATACCATCCGTGATCAGAGACAGGGATTGGCCTGCAGAAGTGCCTGCAAACCGTTGCCCTCACACTGCGGAGGTTACGCTCCCCTTGAGTGTCCCCATGAGCTGCGGGTACTTGCCCGTTTTCACCTCCAGGACAGGCTACTTCCAAAGTCGAGGATATGCCACACTAAATGCTGGTCGCACACTACAAGCAAGCCGAAGCCCGAAGAACCACAGACACAGGTAGGTTGGAGATTATGATGCACTTCCATCTCTCCTAGAGCTAAACACCCCTTCCATCCTGGATAAAGGAATGTCACTGGGACCCGATGCCCAGTCGTCCATGTCTGTGGCCTACTTGAAGTGCCGGTTCCAACACCGGACAGTTGCCTCCTCTCTGGGGGCTAGCTAGGGTCCGCGTGGTCGCTAGGCCACGTACCCACGCGAGCGTGGGCCCCCTGCGGGTCACCCATCGTCTGCCCGCACCTAGGAAGAAATCATTTCCCCCCTCAATCGTCGCCCAATTTGTGTCCAGATCGACTAGAGCTGAGTGGATGGAGGCCGCCAGAGATAACCCGATCCAAACGACAGATGTTGCAGCATCTCTTCGACGATCTCCAGTCCTGCTCATCGACCATCTTACACCTCGGAATCGTCGACTCCTGGAATATGCTAAAACTATTGTCAAAGAAGGTCGTCTCGCCTACGCCTGGTCAAAGGAGGGGAAGATCAAGATTAGGAAGACACCAGATGGACCTGTCAAGACAATCAGGGACAACAGTGAAGTGGACGAGTTCGCAGGTCCAGCTGTTGGCGGAGGCGTCGATACCGTGGTCAGCGGCAACGGAGGAACCAACAGCGACAACGGAGGAACCAACAGCGGCAACGGAGGAACCAACAGCGGCAACGGAGGACCCAACAGCGGCAACGGAGGACCCAACAGCGGCAACGGAGGAACCAACAGCGGCAACGGAGGAACCAACAGCGGCAACGGAGGACCCAACAGCGGCAACGGAGTAATCAACAGCAGCTAGGAACCCGGAGCAGTTAGTTGATCTCAACACAGTATGGATTAAGCCTCTTAGGTATTATTTTTAATATTTTTATAATGTTACTTTTCGTTTTTACTAGCTTATGTAAACCACCAGTAGTAGTTACTAGTAGCCTACGTAAGGTAACTAATACACATTTTTTCTCATTTTAATTCACAACAATTCTGTTTTAATATGTTCAATCTAAGCACTGTACTACTAGTCACGTAATCTTATCACCATGATCATTGTTTTTAATCTTTCTCTGTAGCCACTTCTTTTAAATCTGAATTAGTGTTAAATTTGTCTATTCGTTTAAGCTCACCAACTTAACTAAAGTTATTTAATTTCAATTCATGTGCTAATAATAAAACGTTTTGTTTTGGAGGGAATAAATCTACTAATTTCTGTAGCACCAAGAATACTACACTTAATAGGCTACTCTTTTTTTACAGTTGTATTCACCTATAGATAATAAAGTGTACCATTCCAGTGAGTAGTGGGCATAGGTAAAAACACAGTTTCAAATTCACGTAGCAAATATTTTTAGTTGGGGTACAATCTTTGAAACTAAACACAAATATAGAGAATAAGTTTTTGGCATTTTTTGTAAGTAAATTCTTTTTAGTTGTTTTCACAAGTATGTAATTTTTATTTTCATTTTTTTTTGTGCCATACAGAATGCACCATGTGTATTTTCAGGAATATGTTTTACATCAATTTAGAACGTGTTTCTCTGTACTTGTGATTTTTGTAAATACTAATAATTTGAAATAAGAGTAGGGTTCTAATTAATCTTTGTTTTATCTGAAGTTTCTATAGGCTCTCAGGTGGGTTTGTCTCTTTTAATGGAGGAAATTTTTGACGACATAATCTCTTATCAAAATGTAAATGCACACATATACGAAGACATATCGACATTTAATTTTTTCAGTGAGTTTAATGCAGACATTAAAAATAGTTTAACGATTCTTAGTCTAAATATTAGAAGTTATAGTAAAAATATAGACGAGCTGATTATTATTTTAGATAGTTATGTATATCATTTTGATATAATTGTTTTAACTGAGACTTGGGTGGATGAATCTAGTGCGAATGTGAGTATGGATGGTTATAACGTGTTTATGAACAAAGAGAGTAGAAATCGTAATGATGGTGTGATTGTATTCGTGAAAAAGTGTTTTTCTGCGTGCATGGAGGAGGTTGGTATGTTTGGAGCGACGTGTGTTAAAGTAGATGTATCGTTTGGCGGTGCGTGGATTTCGCTGCTATCGGTGTACAGGAGTCCGTCTAGTGATCTATCTCTCTTTATCGACGACCTTGAAGCCTACTTAGATAATAGACCCAGGGATAGGACACACTGGCTGGTCGGCGACATTGACTGCTGCATTTTACCAAATAAAGTAGACAATCTCTCACAACGCTACTTGGATGTTTTATATGGTTCAGGTTTTATTAGTTGTATAAATTTGCCAACCAGAGTTACAGAAGATACAGAAAGCTGTCTGGATCACTTTTTCACCGACTGTAAAAACACTAACTCCATTAAATCCGCAATCATTAAATGTGCTCTAACGGACCATTTTTTCACGGTTGCACAATTACAAGGTCCGAAAGATTTCTCAGATGCCACTCCAAATTTACAAACCAAAACAGAGAAAACGTGTTTAGATTTTTCTATTGCAAACCGCCTTATCTCTGATACGGACTGGTCTGTTATCACGGATGTAAACGACGTTAATGATAGTTGTAATCTTTTTGTTAATAAGTTACAAGAAATTATTTCATTATCTACTACAAGGAAAACAATTTCATCTAAGGAGTTTAAAATAAAACCTTGGATTACGTCTGGTATTGTCAGATCGATCCGTGTCAGAGATGGGATGAGTAGACGTTTAAAAAATCAACCTTTTAATGCAGTCTTAAAACTACGTTTTAAAAATACAGAAACGCCCTTAGTAAGATTATTGCTTCTGCTAAACTTCATTATTATCGCAGGAAATTAAATGAATCTCGGAACGACAACAAAAAATTATGGAACAATATAACTGAAATCATGGGTACAAAAAAGATTAAGGAGGATTTCCCTATCAACCAGTTTCTAGGTAAAAGGATTTGTATAGGTACAGATGATATTATAGAAGCTGCGAATACTTTTAACGAATATTACGCCAATGTAGGAGCCGACTTAGCCAGTTCTATCCCCCCTGTGTCTGAACCTATCGTGAGAGATGAGGATTACCGGACGGACTCTACCTTCCAGCTGACGCCTATTTTAGAGGTAGATTTAGTAAAATTGGTCAATAATATGAAGGGTGGCTCTGCCCCAGGTGTAGATGGAATTCCAACTAAATTAATCAAGCTAAACATAAATATACTTAAATCGCCAATTCTTTATATTATAAACATGAGTTTGACATCTGGGGTTTTCCCAGATTTTTTCAAATTAGGGAAAGTAATTCCAATCTACAAGAGTGGACAGAAAAACCAATGTGTGAGTTTCAGACCAATTACATTAACAAGTGTGTTGTCTAAATTATTAGAAAAGTGCGTTAGGGAGCAGCTAGAAAATTATTTGATGGTTAACAACATTTTATTTGAAAACCAATTTGGCTTTAGGAAGGATAAAAATTTAAATGATGACCTTTTTCTACTCACTAAAAATATTCATGACGCAGTTGGGAGAAATAAGAAACCTCTTTTAGTCTTTATAGATTTGGCCAAAGCTTTCGATACAGTTGACAGGGAAATTTTACTGAACAAATTGAGCTTAATAGGCGTCCGTGGGGCTGCACTGGAGTGGTTTAGGAGTTATTTTAGTAATCGATTTCAAGTTGTGTCAATTTTGGGCCACTCCAGTGTACCTCAACTGATTGAATTTGGGGTTTTCCAAGGAAGTTCGCTTGGGCCTCTATTGTTCCTCGTTTATATAAATAATCTAGGTAGGGTCTTATTGGATGGTGGAAAACTTTTCCTTTACGCCGACGATTCCGTTTTACTTTTTGAAGGCGACAGCTGGGAGCAAGTGTACCGTGTGGCTGAGCGGGGCCTTCGCGCTGTCAAGCAGTGGTTCGACCAGAGTCGGCTCTCAGTCAATATTTCCAAAACCAAATATATGCCAGTGTCTGTGAGAGCCGACCACGACCCGGTCGGCCTGCATCTGCGTTTGCACACGTGCGGAAGTGCGAGGCTGTATGAATGCGTGATGTGTGAGTGCATTGAGAGAGTATCTGAATATAAATATCTGGGTATCATCTTTGACAACCGCTTAAAATGGAATTGCCATATTACTTATGTAAGAAGTAAGCTGCGTAAAGTATCTTTTATCTTTTCACGCATCAACAGGATACTTCCCCCCGACCTGATTAGAACTGTGTATTATGCTTATGTACAATCTCTATTGCAATATGGAATCTTAGCTTGGGGTGGTTGTTATCAAAATGTTTTATCGCCACTTGAAATAATTCAAAAATCTATTATCAAGATAGCACTAAAAAAAATCGCCGTTATCCCTCAAATATTTTGTTCAACGAATTCAAAGTTCTTAATATACCCCAACTCTTTATAAAAAATTTAATTCTGTATATTCATAAAAATGAAACGTTCTTGTTCCAACATATTACACATCAATACCATACTAGATCAACAACTAATCATGGAATTATTACTCCTAGATTAACAAAATCAATAAACAGCACTTCGTCTTTTTATCTTGCAAACATAATTTATTCCCAACTTCCACTAATTATTAAATCCCCCCTCCTTGCAGTCTACGTACATACAAAAAAATTATTGACAAATGGTTACTAGAAGTTGGCCGTCACAGAATAAGAAACTATTTCACCTCCATTTACATATAGATACTACTATCATTTCATCAACAACTGCAGTATATCTATGCCGTTGCGTGCGTGTATGTTTGTGTGTGTTGTGTGTGTGTGCGTGAGTTTGGGGTGGGTGTGTGTGTGGTGTGCCATGGGTACTCCGCTAGGCTGGACCACAGGGACAGTGCAGTGACGGCTTTTTTTTTTAAAGAGCTACCAGCCGCCTGTGGGTCCCGGGGCGGGTACTATGGAAGGTAGTGGCTGTGAATGTATGTTGTGGTGAGTGTGGTTCTTTTGTGAGTTTGTGTAGGTATGAGTGGTCTGTGTGAATGTGTTAGGGCTATGTGTGTGGAATGTATGTGCCAAGTCTCAGGCATTTCAAATTATGTGTTATTTCATATGGTAATCTATATATATAAAAGGCTTTTCCTATATTTTAACGTGCAAACTGAACGCGTGATATATGTGTGCATTCATTTTTCATACACTGAATCGTTTTGTAGATATTTACCTCGTAAACTAGTTTTTTTATTATTTATCTTTTCTTGTAAACAAAATTATGTGTACAATCTATATTATTTTCCCTTTTTAAAAGTAGCCAAAATTTATTGTTTTATTGTGCGGATGATGGACTCAATCCCCAACCACAGGCATTAGCCCATTTGGGGATTACATTTCAGTAATTGTTGTTTGTACCATTGTAAATTATGTACTGTAATGAAATAAAAAGGATTCATTCATTCATTCATTCATAACTAGTATGATTGCAAATTGATTTATATGGTGAATAATTAAGGTTCATGCAAATGGAATCTCAACAAGCTTGTAAGAAATACCAACAAAACAAAACCCCAAGATTCATAAAAAAAAAATAAACTCAAAATACACTAGTTGCATTGAGAACTCATCCCGAATGAACGATCATAGAAAGTATTTGAGAGTTACTTTTTCATACCTCAAACCAAGACAGTAAATTTGATGAATCAGTAAGTATATAAACTTTTGTATACTGTTACTCTACAAAGAGACCAAAGACCGGAATACTTTGGTGAATTGTTCTTTTGTCTCTTCTTCTCTGTTCTCATGATACTATTGATATTGCCTGGCCTCGGCTATGTTAAACTCTTTAAAACTTTCTCATTTTGCTAATCTCAAGACACAAACAGAGGGAAACATTCA